TCCTTGGTGGAGAAGATTAAACGAGATCCCAAAGCGCGCCACCACGGAGCCGCGTAGGATACATATTAAGGCAAGAGAAGTATGTAAGTCAAGCGACATGTACTCTTGTGTTACCATGCATTAGCAGAAATCTTGCTTCACCTTCGTTATTCATCGGGACTCGCATATTCGCCTCCTCTCGCTTGGTGCGCCGCACCGCAGAATTTGCAAATTCAAAACATCTTTGTTTTATCTGAGATAGTATAGCATTTCATAAGATTCAAACAACATTGAATAGCTCGACAGAAATCACGTAAGTATATCGATCTGGAGGTCACGGTTTCGATGCCGGAATTATGCATTATTTTTCAATATTCGCCTAGGTGCATAAAATCAATTTTGGTATGAAGAGCATTGAGGCAGATCCGACAAGGGTCGCTTAACGCTATCGCTGCGCTTCCAAAGACACATGACCCACCCAAAAAATCGCATGGCCCATCCAAACTAACAACTAGACGCATTGAAAGCGACGGCGGCGCGCTGGCCAAACACGTCACGATCAAGTTGGTCGGAGCCAAGGCGCACCACGTCGTGACGGGTACAATCGTTGGCGTGCGTAGGTGCTACCGCCGCCTCGTTCGTAGCGGAGGGAATGTCGTCGTGGGGGTGGCAGAAGGGCGGCACTTTGGTCGGCTCGGCGTCGACAAAGTCCACTGCGTCGTGTTGTGCCAAGATACCGCCTTCGTCACACCCAAGGCCAAGGCACAGGACGTGGTCATGTGGCCACCTCGAGCTGCTGCCACGCGACCAAGAAGGGGCGGTGGAGCCGCCTCTTTCGTCCGAGTGCATCGTTTGGATCGGCACCGACGACCATGGCCTAAGCCAGCGACGACAAAGACGCATCGCAACTGACCACGCTGATACTGCACCCACCGCTGACGCTGCAGAATCTCTTGTGCGTCAACATCGTGTGCTGTGTGTTTCGAATCGTGGCGTCGTCTCCAGCACCGCCGTCGTCCTCCGGCCGCGACGTGGTGTGGGAAGGCACGATCAAGACTGGCGGTCACGCTGCCATTTACGCGTCCAACTTGGCCGACAAACTCTACTGCAGCGTTCTCTTGCCTGCGCTGCAGTGTGAGACAGTCAAACCTGCGCTGCTCCACGTTCCGCCATCGAGCAAAGCCAAGGTAGGCTAGCCACCCAACGACGGGTCGATTGGGTGGTCGGGCTGACGGGGGCCCTAGGTCGATACTGCTATCGCTTTCGCCGACAAAACCAACAACACGCAGCCGCTCAAACTCAAGTACGTCCTGTCGTCCTGGCGAGCAACGTGCTATGGCTTCCGCAGTCGCCATGGCGTCGATCGGCTTCGTGAGCGCGCCAACAACCTTGACTGGATATGATGAGCTAGGGTCGAAAACCCTAGCTCATCAAATCCAGTCAAGGTTGCCGTCGGGTCGGGCGGGCAGCGCGCGGTCATTTTGTACGCATCGTACTGGCTGGTCAACCTGACGCCGTTCGGGCTGCAGTACAAACAAGACACGCGGCACTTTGAGATTGCTGGGAGTGCGGCGGCTCTCGCACGGCGGCAGTCCATCGATGGCGACAAGCAAAACTTGTGGAACGTGCTAGCGTGTGACTTGGAGCTCGGGCCGTATTTGAACCCGGTCGACGCCGCCGTCACAGCCGACGACGGACTGCATGGTCCGAGTCTGTCGTGTATGCCTTCGATCCGGCCACAAGACGGACGGTGCTCGTTCGTCGCCGATAGCCACGAGTTGTGTTACTGCCCCGCGCCGACGTGTGCAGTTCGGCGGCTCGCCCGCTTCGCCACCATGTTTTCGTTTGGGGGCGGCGGGAATAGCGTCGGGGGGTTGGAAGACACCATGACGGCGGCGTTCACAAACAATCTCTGCATCAAGGTACGATGAATGGCCAACCGCACGCGGATTCAATTGGGTCGACGGTAGTGCCCCAAGTACTCGTGGTCCAAGGGGGTATCCCTGGAAGTGCTCGGCGTTGACCAAGTCGTCGAGGTGCGTCCGTCGCCACGTCGCGAGCGCCGACGATCGCGGGATCGCTGACGTGACAACTAGCTCAAAAATACAACCCACGTGCTCGAGCTCGGCGTCAAGATCGTGCCTGGCCCGGACGCGTTCTTTCGGACGAAATGCGTGATTTTCACCCCTCGGTTCCTCCTTCTCAACCAGCTCTCGACGTCGCTTGCGCTGTACGATGGACTGCACCGCCTGGACCACACCCATGCCCCGCTCGACGTCGTGCGCGTACACACGAGAATGTGTGGACCAACATTTGTGTCGGTCGTACGAGCCGTCACACGGGTGGACGAGGTGCAAACAAAGTATACCCGATGGAGCTCAAGCGCTTCATGGAGTTCTTGGGACGCACCGAGGAGCTCAACGACCCCAACTTCACCGAGACGAACTTGCTGGATGTGACCCCTGAGGACATCCGGCGCTATTTCAACCTTAAAGCCTCACTAGCGACACGGCCATCGACGCAATCTACTCGAAGTACGGTCGCTCCAAGTCCGTCACAGCCATACTGACCCTTCTTCGCCAAAGCAAACCACAACCAAACGAGATTTGATGAGTCCATAAATTGCATTTATTTCTACCAATCATATGCCATGATATTGGAGGTGTGATTTCTTGTCATAACGGTCATGATCCATGACACCATTGTTGGTCTCGATGGACCCTGCAGCTTCCTTTTATGTATTGCTGGAGTATATATGTATTGTAAGAGGTATTATACGAACGAAGTATTTCTTGTAAGCGTCAATTCTTTCTTTTCATTAGTTTATACGAGAGTCCGAACCTATAAGCATGTCTAAACCTATACTAGTATAAGGTACACGGTAATTGGAAATCTTTCAAACAGGTTGGAATGAGGAGGGTGTCTACAAAGTTAGCGTGCCATGAATGCAGCGCTAATGTGTGAATGAAAATATATCCCGATCGTGTTCAACTCCATGCTTGACCCAAGCCTTCTCCTCACGTGCCGCGTTCCTCCCTCTGTATAGATTGGACCCAGAATCTCGGCGCAAACTGTTCTTGTACGATGTACCCAATGCCTCAGTACTACACGCGATCTGTGTCGGAACTGTACGACCAAAATACTCAGGCCTTGTTGCATGCGACTTGCCATGGGAAGACAGGAATTTGTGGGAATCAAACTTTCTGGTTTCTGGCGCGTCCCCGCTGCTTCGAACAAAGTCTTGTCGGTGTGTGGGTGCGGAGGGGTGTTTTGAACAAGATGTAGGACATACTGTACTTTAGTCACTTCGAGGACTGCCGTAGACAGCAAACTCGTCCATCCCCCGGGGAGGTCCTTTTCATGCGTATTCCTAGTATTTATGTTGGCCACATGGCCAGGGGGTACATACACAAAGCGTAAGCTCAGCGATGCGCTTGAAACGTGTACTGTGGCGTCCTGGGGGCCATTGTGGTCGTGGCGGACTTCGACGACCCAGGAATGAAAGAAAGACGGTTCTCAGTAGTGCATCGTACGAGATGGATTGGCGCTGGCAATCATCGGCGCACACTCCAAGCCAATCCTTCCGTTGTCTTAACTTTCATGCGGCTGATTTAGACCTCGCCTCAGTTGTAAGAGTCTTGGGGTCGCAATACGAGCATGGGTCCGTCCGTTTACCGAGGCGTTGGGCAATCCTAAGCGTTCGGCCACTTCTTCGCAATCTGCCCACTACATAGTGCAACATCGACGATTGCCCAAATCAGAATGAATTCGCGCCAGCTTCCATGTAATACCATGCCTACCACACACTCAGGTCGATGACAACGCCCCAAAACGACTCAGTTGTGTCTCTGCACGTCAGCTCCACATTGGATGAAGGATCGCACGCAATAGTGCCGAGTCGATCTGAATTCAAAAAGGCACGTGTACCAGGACAATCGCGTTCGAGCTACACAACAATCTTAAAGATCACTGTAGCTTAGCTTCCGTGGTCGAAATGACCACTCTCTAAAGAGAGTGGAATTTCCCGCCGAAAAATGCACTAGACCACAAAGCCACAACGGTTGTCGACGCGCTGACCTCTAACCCATTGGGCACTCAATCGCATTCGGACGAGTCACTTTTATATTTGCGATCTGTCACCTTCGGCCGCCATGAAGTTGATTTTCGTCCTCTCTGTCGCCTCTGTCGCTGCGACCAAACAGTCCGTGATGACCACGGAAGCTAAGCTCGATTGATATGTGTGATATTGCATAGGAATGATTGGGCAGTTTTATCACACTGTGAATCACATTTCAGTGTGATAATAACCCCACCAGAAAATCCCAGTGGTTCAGAAATTGACCTCATTTTCAGCCAATCATTTCCAAATCAATGCTGTGTGCGAGACCTGATTCGGCAAATATTTGAAAATACAAAGTTGGTGTGATTATGTCAATAACACTGGAGTGTGGAATGGCCTACCTGAAGCCGTGATATTGAACGGGTTTCTTAAGTGTCAGCTCATTGATGGAGCTATTGAGCAGTGTGGTGAGGTTGAAGCCTCATTGGAGGATAGTGAGCTTACGGACTTGACGGAAAATATGGCCATTGAGGACACAATTCACCCAGCTTGAGAGCTTGGAATCATGGATGCTGACAACACTGGCTAAATATTTTTGGTGTAGATAAATATAATCTTCAAGTTTGTACTGGTATGAATTATTCACGCATTTACACTGTTAACCTCTCGTCTTCGCCATCCTCCAGAACTCTACTTATCTTGGTATTGAATATTTTGTAGCTGAATCCACAAAGATGGAATTACTTAATTTTGTATGTCCAAACCTAGATACATTATCCGAAAGGCATAGCGTACGGATAATTGGCCCGTGACTGTCCAAACCTATATAAGGTCCACGTTACGTATGGAAGAACCTGCTGGACCAAATCAGGTATACCGTCTGGTTATATCAGTCTGGATATTACTGATATATAAGAAGGGCTCCGCTGCGACGGCCTTTGTACCACCTTGGCTCTACCGCTTCGCGTACCAGTATTTTAATGCACTACAGTAGCAAGATCTGGGGCAGTTGGCATGGTTGTGTTGCTGCCGTGCTTGATAGTTCGCGATGTGGCTGTTCTTCAACGAAGACCAGTCGTCGAATTCGTTCACTGCGCATGACATCCGCAGGGAAGGTCATGGCTGAGAAATCCAGGGGTTCGAAACCACGCGGTATTCCGTATTAGTTGCGATGGGCGCTGACTGATTTTCCTCGCTGAGGACTTCAAATCATGAACACAGATTGAATCGGAATGTATCCGATCCATTCGGCAGCCGGAGCTCACAGGTACATCGAGATCTGGTATATTAGTACTCCGGAATACTGCAACTTCGTGGTAGTTCCGATACTGTACATGAGCCTGAGTTGTGGAAACAGCGACAACGGCTGTGGTTTGCAGTCAGCTTTGTCTCTGAGAGGTTAAATCAGCTCGGGCCTCGAACGGGCTGCTGATCGCATCCCAGCAGAGTATGGGCAACTGAAGTGTAACGTGCCAACATCGAGGGGCTACTCTATCGACCATTGCGAGCCTCAACATCAGAACGACCCAACTCCAGGATATCGTGTTGGCAACAAGATCTCCTCCTTCACGTCAAACAAAGAGGCTCGTCGAAGCCGATGCCGACATTGGTTGATCGCGATATTTTGGACTTTCGTGGGCGATTTCTGGGCAACTCTCGCTTATCGACCAGTGTCGTGCTGACCACACAACCTCTCTTCGCGCGCGCAACCGGTTAGCCAGACACGCCTGAAGCTTACAGTGCGTTCTCAGGGTGAAGTAGAGGACGTGATCAAGTTTTATCTCTCGGCAAGCATCACCCATAGACTTGATGGAGATCTTACTACGCACTTTTGAATTTCAATCTGTCACCTTCGGCTGCGATGAAGTTGATTTTCGCCCTCTCTGTCGCCTCTGTCGCTGCGACCAAACAGTCCGTGATGACGCTGTCGTTTGACGAGCGCACGCAACTCCGCGAGGAGTTGGCCACGTGGCGCCAAGAGTTTGGTGCCAAGGCCCAAAGCCTCATGCCTCCCTCCGTCCAAGGCATGACCGCTTTGGAGGCCGAAATGGACGCACTCCAGCGTTTCTACAACAACAAGCTCGCGATCGAGGAGGCCAGCCGCAACAACCCTGATGCCACGTTCGACTACAACCACCCGTATGCCCTGATGACACCAGCTGAGTTCAAAGAGCACGTGCTCGGCTTGTCCTTTCAGGATGGTCTCGACGCCGTCCTCGCCCTTCCCTCCGTCGAGCTGGACACCAACAGTGTCCAGGCAGCGTCAGTGGACTGGACCACCGGCAAGTGCGTCAACCCCGTGCGCGACCAAGGCGTCTGCGGGTCGTGCTGGGCTTTCTCAGCGGTGGGTACTGCGGAGTCGGCGCACTGCCTCTCTTCGGGGGAACTCTTGGACTTGTCGGAACAACAAGTGGTGAGTTGCTCCACCATGAACAACGGGTGCCAGGGAGGCGTTCCCTGGTACGGTCTCGACTACATGTCCAGCGAGGGAATGTGTGTGGAGCGCGACTACCCGTACACCTCTGCCCAAGGCAACAGCGGCACGTGCAAGAAATCCTGCACGAGGAAGAAACTCAGCATGGGCGCCACCGTCCAAGTGAATGGTGAGGCAGCGTTGGAAACGGCGTTGAACACGCAGCCCGTGTCGGTGGCTGTCGAAGCGGGCAACTCTGTGTGGATGAACTACCGTTCGGGCGTGATTTCACAATGTCCTGGCTCGCAGTCCGACCACGCCGTTATTGCTGTGGGCTACGACGGCTCGTCGTACAAGATCCGCAACTCGTGGGGTGCAAGTTGGGGTGAGAAAGGGCACATCCGTCTGCAACGCGGAAAGGGTGGGAAAGGCATGTGCAACGTCGCCGAGTACGTGTCGTTCCCCAAAATCGGCGCCTCGCCAACCCCGACGAATCCCACGTCCAAGCCTACGACGACCAAGCCCACGCCCACAACCAAACCCACACCCACAACCAAACCCACGCCAACTACCAAGCCCGTGCCCACTCCCAAGCCCAAGCCCACTCCCAAGCCCAACTGTGGCTCGTGCCGCGTCTGCTTCTATCCGCCCGCCAACCAATGCTTGGACGGCTACAGCAAGAGCGATTGCGAATTCTACAGCGCCGAATACGGCACTGTATGGTGCGGCAACTAAACGAGGTGTGGTTGATCGAGATCAGCTGCAGTTCTATTGTGTGGATGGTCCGCGTCGTTTTCAGGGTTAAATCGTACTACGTAGTAGTAATTCGTGGGAATGGACTATTCCTTTGTTGTTCAAAATGCAATGTTGGGAAATCGATGGAATATTCTTCGGCGACCCGTTGAGTCCTCCGTGTCAAAACTTGTCGTGGATGATGCTTAAGCAACCACACAACAACGCTCTACTCGACGGATTCCAAGTAGCATATCCATAGGTGTCGTCGGGTGTTAAGTGCATCTATCAAGTTGGCTCACCGTTAGGGGCTCTCCTGTCTGGCTGACCGTGAAGGGTTCAATTTGAATTTTGCATACCTTCTTGAAAGGAAGTCGCCTTGCAGACACCAAGGCGCGGACTCCCCAAAGCAGTGCCATCCGTTCTCTTGCTAGGGTCGCTGTCTTCATGTTGGCCCGGCATAGCTGACTGGGCCATCCAACATTTGTGAAATTGCGTCGTCCGAGTTTCTTCAGTCGAGAAATAAATCGATGGACTTGCTATGGTTGCAACTTGCAGTCATGTCGTCGTGGTTTGCCTACAGCTGCATCTTTTTGTTGATATTCAGCACCATTCACGCCTCCTGTCCAGACAACAACTCCACTATTCCTTGCCAAATTGTTCGCGGCGCTATTTCACCGACACGTGCTACGAGTGTGTGTTGTTGCGAGACGGTTGTAATTTTGCTCGTGGCTATGTCAGTATAGTGCGATTGCGATCCGTGGGCCGCCGCTGTGATCACCAGGTCATTCACCGAGTCGTCGTCGACCGTGACATTCACCGTGTCGCACTGTTGAGAGCAGCGTGATTGTTGACCTGACAACTAAAGTCACTTTTTGTCATCGAGGTCGCCGCTGTGAATACGGCAAGCCGTCCGTCACGAACACCGGCGCAAGACAACACAAATCGCGGGTGCTCAACACACGCAACTAGTTGTAGGTATGACTGCTAACGCGGCTCCAGTACAATGGTCCACACCGCCGGTATAGTCCCAAGTGCATACATTACCAAGCTGAGAATCCGACGAGAACTGCTGATAATGCATGACGGCAATGTCAATATTCTAGTTAGAAACAAGCTCCTGTGGCGACACAAACGACAATGTATGCAGACGACTAGGATTTACCAAAAGCCGCACCACACGTAGCCCTTGGTCGACGTCAAGGCTCGGCAATCGTACTTGCTGATGTTGTCCATGCATTCGTCAGTCGCCGGATCGTAACATACCATGCACGTGCCACAGTCGACACTGGAGGTGGGCTTGGGAGTGGGCTTGGTGGTAGTCGGCTTGGTGGTAGGAGTCGGCTTGGTGGTAGTCGGCTTGGTCGTAGGAGTCGGCTTGGTCGTAGGAGTCGGCTTGGTGGTAGTCGGCTTGGTGGTAGGAGTGGGTTTGGTAGTGGTGGGAGTAGGCCCGTCACCGCACCAAACCGTGCCATACTCATCACGGTAATAGTCACAGTCGTCCTTGGTGTAGTCGGCAGGCAAACACTGGTTCCCGGCAGGGTAGAAGCACCCGGTGCAGTCGGCGCAAACGTCAGGTTGAGCAGAGGTAGGGGTGGGCTTGGTCGTAGGAGTGGGCTTCGTCGTGGGGGTCGGCTTGGTCGTGGGGGTCGGCTTGGTCGTCGGCGTGTTGCCTTCGATCTTGGGGAACACGACGTCCTCGGCAACGTTGCACATGCCTTTGCCGCTCACGCCGCGCTTGAGGCGGATGTGGCCGGCTTCGCCCCAGTTGGTGCCCCACGAGTTGCGGATCTTGTACGACGTGCCGTCATACCCCACCGCGACGACGGCGTGGTCCGAGTACGACCCAGGGCATTGCGTGATCACTCCCGAGCGGTAGTTCATCCAAACGGAGTTGCCCGCTTCGACCAACACCGACGGAGGCTGCTTGTTGAGTGCCGCGTCCAGCGCCGCCTCACCCTTCACGCGGACGGTCGCACCGATGCTGAGCTTCTTCTTGGTGCACGAGTTGCTGTTGCACGTGCCAGTTTTACTCGTGCTGCCAGACGTGTACGGGTAGTCCTTCTCCAAGCAGAGTCCGGTCGTCGACACGTACGTCATGGCGGCGTACGGCCACCCGCCGTTGCACCCCGAGCTACCACTCTCGGTGGAGCAGCTCGTCACTTGCTGCTCGGACAGGTCGAGGAGCTCTCCCGTCACGATGCAGTGCGCCGGTTCCGCGGCACCCACGGCCGAAAACGCCCAGCACGACCCGCACTGGCCTTGGTTGCGCACCGGGTTGACGCACTTGCCAGTGGTCCAGTCCACCGACGCCGCCTTGACGCTGGTCATGTTCAAATCGGCCTCGGGGACCGAGCGGAACGCACTGCGGCTTTCCTCCAGGTGCACACCCTCCACAAACATCTTGAACTCAGCCTGTGTCATGAGAGCGAACGGGTGGTTGTAGTCGAACGTGGCTTCGGGGTTGTTGCGGCGGGCTTCTTCAATCGCGAGCTTGTTGTCGTAGAACCGCTGGAGCGCGTCGTTTTCCGCCTCAATCGGACTCGAACTTTCGGTGGCGCGGGGCAGCAAACCCTGCGCCGCAGCGGCAGGTCCAAACTCTTGCCGCCACTTGCTCAACTCGGCGCGCAGCTCGGATTGCTCATCAGCTGAGAGCGTGCTTACGGACTGCTTGGTAGCGGCAGCGGACGCGACGAG